CCTGGATAGAAAAACACAGAGAAACTCTGACAGAACGCACAACAAAAAGGGAAAAGGGCAGCCAACGTTTAAAAGAGAGCTTTGAATGTCTTTTAATGAAGCCTGGAGAGAATAAATCCTGGCCGACATCTCCCCCCAGTGGACGGAGGAGGCATTACCATCTATGTAGGTATTACGTCTCTGATGTGTCAGAGGGAGTCAGGGCGAGTCTCGACTGCAGACATCGTCGATGCGCGCAGGATGCTCATCAGCATGACAAGAAACCATCGCTTTTCTCTTGAAGGTTAGACATTTTTGTTTGTTTCTCATTCCTCATATTATTATTTCACGGTTTCTCGAGGGTTTTTGCTCCCGGATATGAAAGCTGTCTCAAAGCGAGAGCACCGCCTCGCAGCGGGATCACAATAAGACGTGTTTTACAGTCGTAGCAAAAAACAAATGAATAAAATAAAATATGTGCAGCTGATTTGTTTTTAATTTAAAACAGTGCTAAACGAGCTGTGGGTCACAACCCGCAGCACCGTGCTGCTGCCTCCCTCAGTGAGCATCAGCAGACATAATGACGCAATGTTTGTTATTATTTGGTAGTGTCGGTGAATGAGCATATATCCACGCTTTAAGTATGGTGTCAATGGGCCTGTCATTGGCTAAACCTTCCATAAATAGATTGGTAGTGGGAAGCTTCGGCCTGTTGTTTATTTCCACGCAGGCTGCCTGCTGAATAACACCCAGCTTTCTGCTGAAGCCTGAAAGAGTGTGTATCTGATATTATGAGGTTATATGTTGGGGGCTTTTTTTTTATAATGCACTGGTTGCATCCAGTGTCATATTTACTGCTTTATGAAGCCAGAGTCCTCCCTGATGTTCCCAAGAGGCGGGGAAAGGATTAAATTTGATCTTCTGAGCCACTCTTTTCATAACAGAGCAGGCACTGGGTTCTTTGGGAATTCACTTCTGTCTGCCCTTTCTGTCCTGTGCTCATGTGTGTTTCAGAGGAGTATTTTTGATTGAACAAATCAGATTTGCCACGTTCTGCCTAGTGTGTTGAGGGAAATCCATGACTTATTCTCCCGAGAATCCATTTGGTTGAAACATAACCTAAAGCAGTTCATCTCAGTTGAGCTTCCTTTATAATTCTCAGTTCTCTGAAGAAGACTTCTTTTTCGCGCTTTCTAAATGTTCTCTTCGTATATTCTCGTCTTCTTCAATCAGTTTGATCAGAGAGCATTTTACGGCTCAGCTTCCATGATTATTGGTGCATCCATGTGCACGTGGCTGTGACAGACATTTCTATATGCCAGGTAAGCTGATTGTAGACCAGATTCAAGGGAGAGCAGCGAGGCACAGGCCAGCTCTGGACTGAATCTGAATCAATAAATGGAAATGAAGAAGAACATTGAGGTTACAGAGGGACAAGGGAAAGGAAGTTGGCTTAAATAACAAAAAGAAAACAAAAACAAAAGAAAAACACAGGATTGATCACAAAGGGATGAGGAGAAGGAGGAGAAGGAGGAGAAGCTGTGGAAGCGCTGCAGTGCAGCCGGTGCTGACAGCACCTGCAGGGGGTGAGCCGCCAGACCAACAAACTGGGACACATTTGTCTCCAAAGCATCCCAGTGGACTCAGGAGCTCCCGAATCTCCGCACTCTTACTACACACCATTTCACCTGCTTCCCTGCAGCATGTTCACCATGTTTGTTGCCACACTGTTCAGCTAGAAAACAGAAACAGGGTCTCTTTAGTGTGTGATTGGGGTCAGATGTCACCCTCAGGACAGCAGCTGGATTTATCCTCTTGCTCAGTTTAGGATGACGATGAAGAATTAGCTGACGCGCTGTCTGACTTCATCCCTCTGGTGCAGGACAGAAACTTGCATTCATTTTGACCATTATCATCTTCTTCAGCTGAACTCCAGTAAAACCAAATTAACATTGCAAGATTGTTGTTGTCATCAGCTTTGGTGGATGTTTGAGATCTTGGAGTGGACTTTTGTTTAATACACTGTTTCAGGTAGTTTGCTTTCAGATAAAATATGCATAAAACCACATTTACTGACAGCAGCTATACAGCGAGGTAAGCTGCACACACTTTTAACGTCAGCATAAAATTATGTCAAAGAGAGGAAATCAGCTACTTATACACTGTGGTCATCCCTGAGACCAGAAACAACCCATTGGTGTTCTTGGGTCATTAATCCAATATATGTTTATTGGTATCAGTATTTATAACAGCTGTTAAAGGAACCTTTTTTTTTTTTCAAAGTTAAGAAAAGATGGGAGAAACACCCTTCACCACACTGAGTGTTGATGTTGCATAGTTCATCCACCAGAGGGCTCCCTGCAGCTTCTCTGTTGGAAGCAGTTGATCCCAGCAGCCTCAGAGCGTAAACGAGTAAACAAGTAAATAAATAGAATTAACAAATGTTAGGTGAATTTGTTCATGTTTTGTGACTGAACAGAAAAATATATCTGATTTATTATATGAGAACATCAGTAGAACATCAGTATCTACATTGTTTTTTTTATCACACGTTATCTTTTGGCGTTATAATCATCACGTGCTTTCAGCTTGCCAGCGTGTGGTTTGTCGTGGTGAACCTTATAGCTTCGGGGCTTTTGCTCGGCCAAATTATGAATCCCAAGATTGTTTTTTTCTCTGGAGGAATTATTAAAGATATTTTGCTGAGAAAAAATATTTATCGGTTTCAACTAAGCATTTGCAAATGAATAAATAAGGGCAAAAAACAAGTAAGTTTAAACCTTGCTGTACATACTGCCAATCCCATAAGTGGCTTCATAAAAAAATAACCAGGCTAAGCTCTATAGAGGGCCAGACAAAGAGAACATGTTGGATATTTACGGTGATGTGACTCAGAAAGACCAAACCGAGGCACCGCACAAGTTCATATATGTAGAAATGAAAAGGTTTCTAATCAGTTTGCTTTGAGTTGACAATGTCTTTGAAAACTGTAGTTGCTCCTGTGCACTCTTCATTCTTGGGTTTTGCAGGGATCTAAAGAAAGAATAACCGTGTTATTAATACGATTAGCACTCATACTCACAATACTTCTACTACTGCTAATAATAATCTGACCATTTTCCTGTTAATATAAAACATATTTGGTTTTGTAAAATTTCCAGTACCGACTGATATATGAAGTGCAGTTCATAAATCAGTCCAGATGACAAAGCTGTTGACGTTCTCTCATGTTGTACGCTCCTCAAACAACTTAAAGGAAGACTTTTTAATCAGAGTACTGCATGAAGTCTGTTAACATCTGGGATACTGATCAGGTTATTTAAGTAGCAGACAGCGTTGTTAATCAGTTTCAGCTGGTTTGGTGTTAATGAAATTGACAACAGGTGCATTAAAGAGGCAACAATGAGACAACAACCAAAACAGGAATGGTTTTACAGGTATACTACTGGAATTTTTCCCCTCCTCCTTATTTATGACTGGTTTTTGCATTTGGCTGGGGTCAGTGTCATTACTCATAGCATGAAGTGCTATCTGGACCCTACAGAGGTTGCATAGGTAGTCCACATCAGTATGTTTCCCAGCACAATCTCAAGAACATGGAAGAGATTCTATAAGACAGGCAGTTACTCTAGGAGAGCTAGACAGGGCTGCAGAAAGTCGTTAACCTATCAGCAGGTCTGTTGTTTGCTCCTTTGTGGAAGGAGGAACAGAATGAGAACTGCCAAAGCTACAAAGTGATGTCCAACAGGACACAGTGTGAATGCCTCTGACTAAACAATCACGATCAGACTTCATGAGGGTGATCTGAGTGCCTGACATTCACTAGTGTACCCTGTGCTCACTGCTCAGCACTGTGGAGCCACATTGGTACTTTCCATATAATACTGGCAGATCCACCACTTGTGTGCTGTGCTTTTAACAGATGAGAGAAGGGTCTGGAGAAGCTGTGGAGAACATTATACTGCCTGTAACATCGTTCAGCATGAACGGTTTAGTGGTGGGTTAGCGATGGTCTGGGGAGGTATATTCATGGAGCGACGCAGACCTCTAAAGGCTGGGCAACGGCACATGACTGCTATTAGGTATCGGGATAGAGTCGTTGGATCCACTGTAAGACCCTCTGCTGGTGTAGTGGGTGCTGGGTTCCTCCTGCTGCACAACAGTGTCTGGCCTCATGTGGCTATGCAGCTAGTTCCTGGAGGAAGGTTTTGGTACCACTGATTGGCCCCCATGCTCACCTAACCTAAATCCAGTAGAGCACCTGTGGGACAATATGCTTCAGTCCATCCAACACAGTCAGGTTGCACCTCAGACTGTCCTCTGTGACGCTCTGGTCCAGATTTAGGAAGAGATCCCCCAGGAAACCGTTCATATTCTCATTAGGAGCATGTCCCAACATTATCATGCATGATTTCAAGCACATGAAGGCCAGTGTATTACCACATCTTAAATGATAATCAGAAGTTTTTTCGAGTGACGGCATTACCTGGTTGCACACAGCTTTCCCGTAGCGTATGAACGTGGCAAAGTGCTCGCAGTTTAGAGTAAAAAGGTTATATGGAAGGGATTGATTGAGAAGGGCGTCACGGCGTAGCCTCATATCCTCAGGTGCTGAAGGTGTGAAGGCATGGCGATTGTTACTGACCAACGCATGGGCTCCATGTGGGACATTGACCTCACCAACAGGGACTCTGCGAATCTTGGTTTCTCCAAGGAGAAGGTCCCCACATACTGGCACGATTTTTTGCAGATAAGTACGAACAGTTGTCATTAGTTGCTTCTCATCTTGGAAAAAAAAGGAAACAAGAAATGTTAGTGTAATAATTTGCCTGTTTAATGAATGCAATGAACACACGTGTTTTACTCACCTGCAACCGCAAAATGGATTACATGTCCATCGTCATCATAGATGGCCCAGTGCGAATATCCGAGTGGGTAGGAAAACTCAATCAAGTCTCCAAATTTTGCAGTGGATACAATGTTATCAATCTGTGTTAATAACAGTTAATAATTAGAATAAAAGAAGCAAGTAGTGACACATCTCCACCCACTACCACTCCCCGTGTACCCAGACAACAGGTTCAGCTACATTACAGAAAGTGGCTGACACGTTTGTTTTTTTAGTACAGGCAATCTGCTTGTCAGAGGTAAAACTTACCCAGTTTCAGTCAGCATCTGAATACATTTAATGTTGCAGAACTATTATACTGTATTTGTATTATTTGCCAGACGGGCTGGTTTGAGTTTTTCAGAAAATGCGGATTTTCTGGGATTTTTCCATACAGCTGTCTTTAGTGTTTACAGGGAGTGTGAGCGGTGGTTCCCTGTTTCAAAATAGCGGTCAAAATACTTTGAACTGATAGAAAGGCAACAGCAACTCAAATACCAGCAGAGGTATGCAGAAGAGCACCTCTAAAGGCACAACACATAAAACCTTAAAGCAGATGGGCTATAGCAGCAGAAGACCGCACTGAGTAACAATCCTGTCAGCTAAGAACAAGAAACTGAGGCTAAAGTTCACAGAGACTCACTAAAACTGAGAAATAGAAGAGGGGCAAAACGTTGCCTGATTCAGTGAGTTTCAACTTTTCCTCCAACATCCGGGTATTAGGGTCACAATTTGGCATAAACAGCATGGAAGCATGGATCCATCCTCCATAAACCAACAGTTCAGGCTTCTAGTGGTGTAATGGTGTGGTGGATCTTTTCTGGCACACTTTGGGCCTAAGCACCAGCTAAGCACCGTTTAAACACCACAACCAGCATGTGTACCCGTCTACTGAAAATAAATCTGGAAGCTCAAATCACCTTAAACTAGTTTCATGAACATGATATTGAGTCGTCTGAACTAAATGTTACAAGATTTCAGTCAAAAGAGCATCTTTGGGATTCGGGGACACATCGTGGATGGGGAACTGTGTGACGCTATCGTGTCAACATGGACCAAAATCTCTGAGAAATGTTCCCAGCACCTTGTTGAATGGCAGGAGGAATTAAAGAATCAAAGCAGCGCTGAAGGTAAAAGTGTCCAGTCAGTATAGATAGATAGAAACTTACCTGCTGTTGATAATTCATGGCTGACTCGCAGTTATTTAGGTTTAAAATGAGAACTCCTGCAGCTCTCCCAGTCTGGTGTGTTTGCTGCGCTACTACATTCAACAATTAACTAACAATAAAGTAAAAAACAAAGCAATTTCTGTCAAGTCTCCTCCCAGTTCCACTCCCTGTCAAGTCAGTGAACAGGTTCAGCTGCATTACATCAAGTGGCTTTTCATAAATGAGCTGATCTAGCTCGAGGCGACCTGCTGAAGTTCAAACCGAGTGAAAAGGAGTGAAAAGCTACTTAAATAATGGTTTAATTAAATAATGTAACAGGATCCAAAGGAAGTCTTAGTGAAACTTACCACCAAATTCCCACTTCATTTTGTGTGTATGGATTGTAAATTGCTAGTAAACTTTACTTGCAATTTACAATTTACTTACTTATTCTACTTCCCACTTTTCTACTATAGCTATACTATGAGCTGTTGTTTCAAGATGTGACAGACATGAAGGTTTAGACTGCTGGTTGGATTTATAAACATTTTAAAAATATAACCCTGAAGTTCAGAAAATGGAACCTTCCGTGTGATATAGCAGAAATTTGTGGGAAAAAATGGGGAAAATTCACAGCATCAAATAGCATCTTTTGCCAAAACAGCAGCTGAAAAAGTAAAAACGTAAATATTTAGTAAGTGATTATCATTCATCACTTCTAATGATGATTAAGTCTTTTAATTGGATTGGAAAGTGGTTGCTTCAGCACTAGTTCCAGCCCCACATATGTGAACTGCGTGTATCTGATGACCGTCAGACAGATGAAATGAAGATGATCCTTCGCTCCCTGTGGCTTTGCATTAGATCCTCTATTGGTTTCCTAGAGAGCTTCCCACAATGCCCCAGGCAGTGGCGATTACAGCGTGCTAAATGCCAACCCCACTGTCAATGACTCCTACACAGCCTAATGAGGCAGAGCATCCATGCTGTAATTGTCATTTGTTTAGATCTCACATGAAGGTGTGAAGACAGGAATTAAACTACCACGGAGAATCACGCTGACTAAACTGTATGTGTGTGAGGTGAGTTCTAGCGCTGTGCGTGTGTGTCGCCGGGACGCCGCGTTTTCATTTGCACGTGTCGTGTGACGTCAGAGAGGATTCATGTGTAAAAATAGACTTCCTTTGCAGAGGTCTTCACACATGAATGGACAGAAACACTCACACACAGATGTTCTCCCCTCATCAGTGTAGCATCAAATAAACAGCAACACACAGAGACAGATGAACGCGTTGATACGACCCTCGTCTCTGTGTATGAGGAGGCAGTGATCGCGCTGAGCAAAGGCAGGTTGTATAGTTGTGTAAGCAAACATATACCAGAGAGGTTAACGGAGTCTGACATCTCACAGGAATTTGAAGCAGCTCATCGGACCACTTGCTGAATCCTTTTCATTTCTTTTAACATTACACGTTGGCTTCATGCATTTCTGGCATACAGTATTCCTTACCGAGGCTTTTTGCTTTCAAATCTCTTCTCCTCTGTCTTTGCTGAAAGGAGAGCGCTTACTGCAGAAAACAATATTGCGACAGTGTGTCAGCTCACAGGACAAAAATAGATATAGAAACAGCTTTAATTACTTGCACACCAGAAGAGACGTGTACTCACTATGGAGAACTGTGTCAGCCCTCTTTTCTAAAATATTTTTCTAGGAAGAGGAGGTGCTGTGATTTACTGAAATATGTGCAGCGTTGATCAAAATCAGACAGTATTTTTCTGAATCCATCCCTTTTGACAAGCTCCTTTGACGTGATCCTAAACCACGACAGAGCTTCCACCGTGTTTTACAGGTAGCTGTGGACGCTCACTGTCCCTCCTCCTGCTACCAGTGAGCAGCACATGGATCAACTGAAGGCAGATGCATCTCTCAGGCCCCGTGTCATTCTTTGCTGGATTTTTCCTGTTTCTTAAGGACATGACTTTCAGATGCTGTTCGTCTGCTGTAGACATTTTTAGGTCTGACTCCAGTTGCCTCAGATTTTATTAGGGCACATTGCACAGACTGCTGAGATATGCCAAATGTTTGCATAACAGGTGCAAAAATACTATTTTATGCCTGTCAAACTGTGTTATCTTTGACATTTTTCACAGATTCAACTAAAGAAATGGAAACAAATTATGTGGGGTTTTCTGCAACAAGCTTCTAGTAACAGGGGATATAATTTAAAATTGTTTCTCTGCTAAGTTATCTGTAATGTGCAGACACAAAACTGGTTCACCTAATGAGTTTAGTGGCTTTTTAATGCTTGAATGATTCATAGATGAATTTTAAGTTGCTTAACAAACAAAGAAATCTTCCTCTAAATATTATCAGGTACAAAGACCGGACTGAAAACGAATGAAAAAAGGTCCAAAGAAATAATTTGAAAGGCTTCCTCAAAGCCTGGTGAACAATTGCAAAGTTGAATATTAAAATAAAATCTGGATCCTTGTGAATAAACTATAAAGAAATGAGGGATGGCTTAAAAAACTCAACTTAAAATACCGACAATGCTCTATTTTTTTAACCATATGTTATTATTTTTGTGGTTTCACTGATTTCTTTAAGCATTTAGCCTGAATAAAAATTGTTTTTCAGACTGAAAGTTAAAGAAAACAGTTAACCCAAACAATAAACTTATTACTAATCATTTAAGAAAATAATTTCCAGATTAACTGATAATAAAAAATAACCCGTGAATGTAGATCCACGTCTCCAACAGATCTAGATCAGCAGTGGTTTAATCTTTTGTCTCTTTCTGTTAGTTGGAAGAAGATGAAGTCAGGGGGAGATTGTTAATGTTGCACGGGAGCCAGATCTCCTCTGCTGGCACACTTGGCACAGCTTTAGTTTCCTGCTGTAGTGAATAATTTTGGCAGGTGCAGCGTCAGCAGGAAATCAACAAACCCTACGTGCTGTTTCTTTTGTATTGTCAGCAGTGAAATGGTGATTGTTGTATTTGCAGTTAAATTGTGAATAAAATGCTCTATCAGAGTGAAGTAAACAGCATTGTTGCTATTAAAACCTGATTATATAGTGCAATTATCAGTGTACAGACCCATCACTTGATTTAGACAAGTGCATCACATCTACAAGCCAGTTTTGTGAACGTGGTTTGAGAGGTTGTGGAGATTATGAGTTTTTCTGTTACGTCTGTTTTCTATGTGAGCATTTCTGATTTTCTTTACCTGACTCCCTGTTCCTGTGTTGGTTATTAGGTTTGTCTAAAACCAGGAAAGCACGAATAGCATCAGGACGTCAATTCAGTGTGCTGCAGTGCTGTTTTTTTTCTACAGCTGTGTGAAGTCTCACTTTTTCTCTCAGAAAATGTTCTCGCCGCCTATATTAGCACGTTAACATGGGGATAAAAATATTTTAGAGCAATGACACAGAGTTGCAAAACCTACAGCGCCGTTCGCCTCAGAATGAAGCATCTGTGGAAACATCATCGAGCTATTATTAGTTATTCATCCTTTAACCCTGTGAAAAAAAAGAGGAATGTAACCGGCTTCCTGGCTTCCTTTATGTGACTAACTGCGAGCACATTGCTATTTTTCGGAGCTCAGCTGCTGTCGTGATGATGAGTTTGATGTCAGTATCAAAGAGCTGAAGATGTCCAGTTCTGTCTGATTTGCCTCGTTTTCTTTCTTTCTGTCAGGTTCCGCAGTGACAAGAGTGTGACTGCTCAGATCCACACGCACACACGTCATAAGAAGGCTTACGCAAGAGTTTTGACTCTGTTCCTGCTCGACATTGTTCTGCTCTTCAGGCCTTTTTTACTCAAAAACAAAATCCTCAGCCCTGACCTGAAACCACCATGTCTGGGAAGGAGCGCAGCCCCCGCCATCGGCCATGGTCGGTCTACCGGGCTAATACGTTTGATCTCTCTGCTGAGATGATGGGGTTGGCTCTCTCAGGTAACCAAGTAACTGCTACCATGGTAACCTTACTTCATTGATAACAAAACTGTAAAGAGCTTCTGCTCATCTCTGTTTCGCTCTCTTCCCCACAGGCAGCAGTCAGGACCCAGATGAGCCCGTGCTGGAGTTCAGCGTGGGTATGTTCAGGATGTGTTTGTAGATATTGTTGCTGCACCTTACTGATGCACCAGACTGTTTATTATGTTCTACTAGAATTAATATGGTAGTGTTCAAATTATTTTATTTTGATCGATCCACAAATGCACGAGCATTTATGCAGCTAATGCTTGATATCAGAGTCCCTGTAGAAGCAAGACTCACCACTCAGCAGCCATCTTGGAGACACCCATAAGCACTTCATTTGGCAGTTAATTTAATTAGTCACAGCACAATAAAAATCCCCACAATAAGGAAATATTGAAACTTTTTTTTAACTCTTAAACCACATATCATCTTCCACTGCTGTCTCTGGATTTTGTCTCTGTTGATGTTCCTTAATCCTCTAAAGCATATTAACAAGTCACAGTGCTGCCAACACTCCAAAACCAAAAACTCATTTATGCATCATGTGTCTGCAGCTATCTGAAGTCCACAGCTGGTTAACTCTTCTCGAATGCACTGTTTGGGTGTTTCAAAATGATTCCTTTGACATAGGGATGCATCATCCTACAAAGCTACACTAATCTGTCATTAAGACTTTGGAGTAAGGTGCTGCTTATCCTCAACTCTGTGCAGCATTTAAGCATTTTTTAGATCGTCCCACTGCTCAGCATAAATTGCTAGATGCAGTGAGGCAGACATAGACAAAAAACAAACCTTTATTTAGGATGATTTGAGAGGCCAGAATTACAAAGTCTGCAAGATGGTGAGGAAGCTGAAACCCAGAGTTAAGCTAACAAGATACAGGTGAACATCAGCATAGACAATGAGATAGACGAGGAAGTTAAATGAAGTAAAGTTAAACACAGGACACTAGAGACAAGTATCAAAATAAAACAGGAAGTGAAACATAGACACATGAATGAACTTAAAATAGTGGAGTTGACACAGAATGGTACAGGAAAATACTGAGGAGCAGTATTAAACTGAAACTATGAACCACAGATTTAATACACATGAAAGTCAAGGTGAAAAATGATAAACAA